CACTGTATTTTCTTTTGTGATATGCTTCCTCTTTGCTCTCTATAAAGTAATGAGGAGGGGGACACAATATAGAAAAACATCAGCAAATATGGTGAAAATATCACATGGAAAGATGTAGGTGTGAGCTGTGTATCTATTTAGACTAGGCAAGAACATTTTTTGTCAGCCTTTTGTTTCTTAATTAAGACATTGTGTTTTTGCTCATTTTAACACATGTTTAACTGTTATTTTTTAATATTGGTGAACTAGCCAGTACAATAGATTGCAAAATACAGCAGACTTCCTTCAAGACAAACTTGAAGGGACAATGAAGAAATGTTCATCTTATCAGATGCTCCTCTTATCAGAAGCACCCTCAAAGAAAGAATTGGTGACATACCAAGATGCATGCAAGTATCTTAGTTCAGAATGAAGAATCAAGTACACGTATATCAAAGGAAAAAAAAGCCAGCAAAGTTATTTATTTGAGAGAGTCGCTTTAAGCAACTGCATTCAAAGGCTATTGCTAGGCTTTATCCACTCCATAATGTATGTCTGTTGCTGTTGTGCACAACAACAAGGCACACAAAGTGCGAGGCATATAAAGCGCGAGGGACGGCAAATGTGCGATCGTTGGCTTGGCGCAGATGAAAACCTCGTTTTTTCCGGCGATGATGACCAACCCGGGATAGGTAGGAGAAGCGAACATTCATGAGAGGAGATATGTATGATGTAATCTCACATGCTTCCGCTCAAAAACGGCATTGGTCAGTATAGCTGATACATTTGCGAATAGGTAGACTCAGTTGTCGTTTTTTTTTAACACGAAAGCGATCTATGTCGGGGTCCATCATGGCTCTGCTGACGTGCTTCCATCACGGAAGTGACATTGAAAAATATATATACTAAGAGATTACAAAGAAAAAACTAGAAGGCAAGAATTCGCCACTCGAAATCGAACCAGCAACCTCTCGATTCTCAGCGCGGGGCACTAACCACTATGCCACAGAATATACGTCTGGAATGCTAACGGCAAGCCATGTATATACACCGTACACTGTTTGGCAGTCCTCATAGCTTCGATATATTAGCGCATTTTTGTTATGAGTGGCGAGATGGTGTGATGGGCTCGCATTGGGCGTGCTCTTAAAGGTCGTCGCCTCCATGAAGAGCCACCCCGCGGAGTGTGGTGTCTCCTGCACACGCGCTTATCAGGCTCGTAATTTGGGAGAGGGCTTGTGCTGTGTGCCTCTTCTTTGGCTCTTGTGTGTGTTTCCCCGCACTCCCAGTTCACTGAACGAAGGTCACTTTGCACGCTGGTGCGGTTGTGTTTACGAAAAGAGTGCGCCACTTATAATGCAGGAAGAATTGTGACAGTTCTTCGCACTTGTCCTCTGTATAGCTGTGCGCTTGTTTCGTGTGTGCTTATTTTTCTTTGAACAGCACACTTCCAGTGTCAAGCTGTGACAGTTGTTAGCCTGTGCTTGTCCTGTGTATGCTAATTTTGTGCGAATTTTCTGCATGAGGTGTGCCCTGCAACTTTCGAGCTGCTTGCCGTTCTTGATGTAACTGCAATTTGTTGCTGTTACTGAGACAATGCACTATAAATGCTCTACTACCTCTGTAAAGACGCATTTCACTATCGTGTTTTACCAATTCCTATATAGGGTATCATCCGCTTTTGTTTTTGCTTTTTCTCCCTATTTGTTTTTTTTTTTTTTTAGCATTTGGCCTCGTGGTCACCCTACGAACTCTATTTTTTTCCTTTTGTTGCTTTGCCACCCGCTCTGCGGGTTGAAGGTAGCTGCCGGTGGTGGCTTGCTCGCTTCCTCCCTCCACCGTGGTGGGGATTTGCTTCAAGGCCGTTTTTTTTTCGTAAGCTTTTTTTTCCGGTTGCTTCATTCCCGTCATGAAGCTAATTGCCTGTGGTGGCGGCATCCACCAAAATGTTCGTCTTATCAGAAGAGTAGGTGCAAGGCTGTTCGTCTTGAGCGGATTGTTTTTGCATTGGGTTTATAGAAAACAAAAAAAATGCTCTGACGTTTGTCATAACGTAGAATTTGTCTTAAATGAGTTCGTGTTAGCGGTAGTTCAGTGTATATTCTAAAGTAAAGTTATTTGTAATTATTTGTCAAGTGCAAATTCTTATGCAGGTATTTATTTATTTATTTGTTTTCATTGATAGATATGTGGGGTTCAACGTCCCAAAACCACCATATGATTATGAGAGACGCCGTAGTGGAGGGCTCCAAAAATTTCAACCGCCTGGGGTTCTTTAACGTGCACCGGAATCTGAGCAGACAAGCGTACAACATTTCTGCCTCTGCCGTAAATGCAGCGGCCGCAGCCGGGATTCGATCCCGTGACCTGCGGGTCAGCAGCCAAGTACTTTAGCCACTAGAACACCGCGGCGGGGCTATTTCTTTATTTTAAATATAGGTATGTTGTAACATTGCAATACTATGGATGATACAGGGAAGTATGTAGAATTTCCATATTGCTAAAATCCTACACTGTAAAGGCAGAAAAAAATGTGTCAATCATAGAATGGATCAGTTCAATTCATGACTGTTTATATGAAAAATAATCATGACTATTCACAGTTGAAATCACTGTTTTGTTTTACCCAGTATATTTAATTCGACATCACCTTTAATGTAACACCTGTATTGTTTGGTTGAAGTTGTCCATTGTTGGTGTTTAGGAGCTTGCACTGAATTGATTGGGGCTTTGGTTGAGGTAGGAGCACTATAAAACGTAGTTCATGGTTAGGTTTTGCAAGCTCATTGGAAGCAAACTTTCTATAAAAATTTAGATTGCTAGGTACCACCTGCTTGCTTGATTTCTTTTTTTACTTGAAATATGTGGTAGTTCTTTATCTTTCTTCAAATCTTAAGTAACAGATACCAGGCTGTTTATGCAAACGGTCACATGTCATTTATATTAAGCAGATTTTGCGCGCCATAAAGAAGTGGTCTGGGGGCCGCTTTTATTCAATATCTACATGAATGACATTGTGAAAATTGATACTAATGCTGAATTTATTATATATGCTGATGACAGTACTGTCATAATATCAGGAATCAAGGCGCTGTACTTGACTGTGTAATGCAATGAACTATACTAGGGACTTTATCTAGCTTGGGTCAGCTAAATCAATTTATGGTTCAAGTGAAAAAAGCTAACACACCTATTTTTCTCTTCAAGAACAAATTATTGCAGCTGAATACTGCTATAAATTTTGAAGGTCAGAAAATCGAAATAGTTGACAGTCGGCAAATTCTTGGCACCTACTTTTCGTCACAGCTTACGTGGGACATGCATGTAAATTACCTTTGTAAAAAGATGTCCTTCGTGACTGGCGTTCTGTCATGATGTTGTAGTCGACTCCCTACAAAGGCCAAAGTGCAGATTTACAAAGCTTTATTTTAATGCACATTTGTGTTATTGCACAACTACTAAAACTAACGTACATAGACTTCTAATGCTACAGAAGAGGATTATATGCTATATTACCCACGTAGACTCTGTATTATTCTATTCAAGCACCAGAGAAGCATTTCCAAATTACAATGTTATTCAAATGGACAACTTGTACACTATCTGTTTACTACATGCTGCACGATGTAACTCGTACTCGTTACATACTGTACGGTGTAACGAGTATACTCCGTGCAGATCGCATCTCAGTGTTCAAGAAGCTGCTGGTTTGTTGTCGATCATTTTGTTAAAATCGCGCATAGGACGGAAAAACTCGACATTATTCCAGAACTTGCACTACCTCAAGTGATAAGTTCGATGCATGATGTATAAAAGGCCGTGCATTCTAACAGTGATTAGTTGATCGATGGCCAACACTGTGGTTACCGCTATCAGAGCCAGTGTATCTCTGTAATCTGACTTTCTGTTTATTGGCCTCAAGTTCGGCCAAGTAAACAGTTTAATCTTAGGCATACAGTCGGCTCTCTTTGTCCATGTCACGATTTCATGACAATAAGGCAGTTATCATCATTGGAGCATCATCAAATTATTGTGAGCACAAGGAACCCTGAGACATGGTCAGTTACACATTTCAGGACACACTACAAACATCAATCAGTACATAATCTACCATCTGCTTTGAACAAATATGAAAATGGCATTTTCAGTAAAAAAGCGTTGCACTCGACTTATATTCTGTTGCAATGTGATATATCGTTACACGTACATACGATGTAGCATATTTAGTTTGTCTTATGATTTTCGTTGTGCTAAGATGAGTTTCTTACTGTGTTCCATAGCTGGCGTTATGTTTTTTTTTGTTCTATATAGCTAGCATCTCAGTACTGTATAATTTTACTTGCTGTAATGGTATTGTAAAAATGTATATTTCTTGTAGTTATATTTCTGTTCTTGAGCAGTTCCAGCTATTGCTGAAATTTTCTGTTAACCACTGTATATGCACTTGCTATTTGCCGTTTTTTATGCTGATCATTGAACCGATCTTCTCTACACTACTGCCTTGTACTATACTCTGGTCGTTTGATTCCATCAAGCTACTAACGTCACTTTTAACCCAATGTAACCACTCAGCATGTTCGTCTTGGAAAAATAAAATTGAATTGAATTCAATTCCTGTAGTAACAATCACATTTCCAGTTGTCATTGTTGTGGATTCCTAAAATTTTCTACTAACACCAGGGAAATAGTACTACACATTTCAATTTCTCTGAGCGTTGAGGTTATTACGCATGGACATCCTAGTGAGTAGCACTAGTGACCGTTTGTCACCATCGCGCACCCTGTTTTTGCTAGAACTGCGTGTTCTCTCTATACTTTTTTTGTGTGTGTAATATCTGTAATCATAGTTACACTTAGGTTGTCTCCATCTAATGTTTTTGTAGTTTACTGTGTGCATCTGTCTGTATGTAGATGCAAATACAAAACATTACATAGTACTAGTAAGCTTTTAGATTTTGCAATGCCTAAAAGCTTTGGAATAGTTTCTCTAGACTTATTGTTGCTGTCTAATTACTATACAGGTACGAGTGCAACTGCACTGATACAGGCTTTGAAGGGGAACACTGTGAGAGGAACATCGACGACTGCTACCCGGGTGCCTGCCACCACGGCGGAACGTGCGAGGATCGTGTGCGAGGTTTCCAGTGCCACTGCCACGAGGCCTATGAGGGCAGTTCCTGTGAAATTGACATACCGGACTGCGACCCTCCGAGGCCATCGACGCCACCCTGCGAGAACGGGGCTGCCTGTCTAGAGCGCTCTAATGCAAGTCTCTACCACGAAAACTATCTGGGGCTCTTCCAGAGCTTCAGCTATGCCACGGCTGCCGGATACGTGTGTCTCTGCCCACCGGGGTTCAATGGGACAAGATGCGAAAACAACATAGATGACTGTCCGGGTCACAACTGCAGTGTTTATGGCCACTGTGTCGACCTGGTGAATGCGTATCGCTGTGAGTGCCAGGCCGGATATGAAGGCATCGACTGTGGAACTGAGGTGGGTGTCATCGCTTTTATCTTAGGTGCTGATTAACTCAAGAAATTGGTGTTTGGTGTGAATAAAAACTATATATTCTCTATTGTTTGTTTAATTTTTTAAGTTGTTAAAGGTATAAGAAGTACAGTAATGAAGTTCTACTATTTACACATTGTTTTTATTAGCGACAAGCCTGTCCAACTTGGAATACATATTCTGAATTTGGTTAGGCATGTGAAAGAAAACTATGTAGGCTGCACATTAAGCATACCTCGCACTCTTTTTTTTTTCACGGATTATCTATGAAAAGTTGCGGGGTGCAAGAATTACACGGGGAAAATTTTTCGCAAAAACATACAGAGCAAAAAAGAAAATGAAGTGGCTGCAAATCGGGACTCTTACGCCAGCAACTAACTGCAAGTTTTGAGAATCACTAATTAAGACTTATCTTAATAAAATCACAGGTTGCACGCAAGGATTTGAGACACAAAAGCCGCTAAAAAATAATGGCAAATTGGAATGCCATACACAAAGGTTGTGGGAATTGCGGGCATAGGGTTAGCGTGCGTCACTCAACGAGAGCCCGCAAAAAGTTAGCGTATGACGTCACTTTGTGGTGGTGATCATCTAACACGGCTTTGTCTGCAGTTGCCTTCTGATGAAATAAAGTTTACCATCCATTCCAGCCTTATGCACACGGGTGGCCCAGCGCGTCATTTTAGTGGCTCGTGCTGCGTCCGCCAGTAGTGAACACAAAACTTGGTCTACTCAGAAGTGCGTATTGGCGGCCCTGTTGCTGTTGTTTAGTGCATGATCAATTACTTTCAACTTCAGCCGCCATGTAACTTCCGTATCACCCATAGTGTAACCACAGAAGAGACGCAACATGCAATAGACGCCATATTGTGCACTTGCCACTTTTACTTGGCTTGGATTGAATTAAGGCTCAGTGCATTGATAGTACACATGATGCTTAAGAGGTGATGCTGGATGGCATATGCTATCATCGTCAGTGGCCGGAATGAGCAGACTACACTGTAGAGCAGACGGCACTGTTGCTTCAATTTTCGGGAACACAATAATTACTCATGGAAAATTTTCTTGGGCGATGTGGGGGTGTGAGAATAATGTGACTGTGAGAATTATGCGAGTAATTACAGTATGAGTTTCCTGCATGTAAGAGTGAGCATGGTGCAATTTGAGTGAAATAATCGAGCATTTCATATGCAGGGCATGAGTTACTTATCCAACTTCTTGCACAAATTTAAATTAAGTTGTATACTTAGTTGTTATTTGTGTGAACTATGGCCACCTACTACTACAGTGAAACCTCATTGATGAGGCACTCAGGGGACCTGAAAAACATGTCTATTACTCTTGTAACCAATAATTCTAATGACACTGAGTAGTTGAAATGAATCACTTCATTGCACATCATCATTGAGGCCCTAATGTGGCCGAAAACTGTAGCTAGACAATTCTGCTGCCTGGGCCTGCTTGATACTGTTCAACTCATGTCTGTTTGATCAGAGCTGTCTCACTGAAACATGGCGATGGCTCTAGAGTCGGACTACTTCTGGCAGACAATGAGAGCGATGCAGCCGCAGAAATCCAATTCTTTGTTATTGTGGGAGAGTTTGTGTGGCAACCTTATTAATTAGTTACAAAAAGCATAACAGAAAAATTGGTGCAATTTGTAGTATCAGCCATGCAAGGAACGACATCTGGCTTGGGAACGGTACAGAATTAGGCCAATTAGGAATTCGAAATTGCAGCACATACTGGTTGGTACTAATATGACGTCGCCCGTGTTGCATGGGCATGTCTGGGTTTTTTCTGAATAGTGAAGAACTAGGGATCTCAAGTGGTTATCTTTATTAACCGAGAGACTTTTGTAACCGCATAACTGAGTACCTTTTTTGTGTGCAATGTTGTTAACTTGGTGGCCTTTTTTATTCGTTCATTTGTGCAACAATATCAAAATTGTCTTAATGCTTGTGGCAAAAGATGACATTGAAATAAAACATCACCTGACTAAGCTTCTAGCACTCTAGCATTATACATGCATTCACCGCACAGAATACTCACTTGCATGTGGTACAAAATATACAAAAAATACTAGCACTCAGAAATGCCATGCAGACAGTGGTGGAATTCTGTAACACCAAGATGCAACTACAACTTGGAATAAGATACTATATCATATCGAGATATAATACACAAGCAATGGCACAAAAACTTAATTACTGACCTATCGACAGTAATGGCATGATATAACACAAATTACAACCAGTAAATAAACAAATACATAATAGACAGCTGAATGAAATTCTAAATGGGTAAATATTTAAAAATTATAGTTCTACAAGTTCACGAGCTTTACTATCTAAGAAATATTTTTTTGGATTGCTTGCTTATTGTCACCAGTCTGTTATAAGCAGCAATACATGACATTAAGGGGGATGTGGCTTTGGTGTTTCAAAAAATGGCAAAAAAATTGATTTTTCAAAAATCAAGTTTTCAGTTTCGAGAACCCTTCTTCTATCTGATTCCAAATATCTACCCTGAAAACCGCAAAGAAGAGCTTTAGAAAATTTGTTTCACCCTCTGAGGTAGCGAAACTTTTTCGGGAAATCGCGAGAAAACGCCAATTTTCAAAACATTATAGCTTCGCAATAGCGTGGCCGGGAGCCGGCTTTTTGGGCTCATCGAAATGAGCATTTCTTCGTGGTTAAATTTCCCGCCTCAGCTGGCTCCTGCCTTTAAAAACAAGCACACAAAAAGTAAATGTGTGAAGGTCCTTTCGAGGCCCTTGATTGACTGTAGCTGCCATGTTGTCTCAGCTCACCTCGTCATTGGCCTGATGCTCACTCCGGGAAATCATCGTCTGCTGCTTGTCCGTAGCAAGCATATGGCTCTCGAAAATTGCTACCTCGTAATGTGTTCTCGGCTAGACAATCACTTAGGATATAATTACGCTTTAGTTAGTAGCTGTAAGCGGATGCACGATCAGATTACTACGAGTGCGGCGCATCATCGTGAGCGAGCCGCGGTCTACGATCCTGACACGTCATCGGAGTCGTCTTTAGGCCAAACTTCGCTGACAGTGAGACTGCGAGCAAGAACAACGTGCTAGCCCACTCGTGGCGACATGCTTCTTCGCAAGCAACGAAGCTGTAAGCAGATTCACGATCAGATTACCATGGGCGGGCACGCGGTCTGTGAGCGTGGCGCGTCATTGGAGTTGTCTTTAGGCCAAACTTCACTGACGGTGACACTGTGAAAAAGAACGACGTGCTAGCACACTCGTGGCGATGCGTTTTTTTCACAAGCAAAGAAGCATATCACTCGCTATCTCCTCGGAATTGCAGACGGGCATTTTATGCATCAGCAGTGGATCCCACAGTCAAGCTCGTCAACCCTCCCCCCTCCACTGCCAAGGATTGCTTGGAACAGGGGCTAGCAGTTACGTGCTTTGTCACTCAAAAGTGCGATACCAGCGCAGTGCACGCCAATTTTTTGTCATCGTAGCTACGAATTTCGCGCATCATCACCGAATTGCGCCGCCAAGTGCATCACGCTTCGGCTGCAATGTCCTCGCGGCCGTGCACTTTTACGGTCATATGTAGTGCTGTCAATAAGCTTTTGTGATACGGTTTAGACATGCTTGGAGCTCTGCTTGGTATCGCCACAAGCGTCTATGAATATTCTGAGACAATGAAAGCCTCGTAGATTAGCGTTTCCACGATCAGTCGTATGATGATGCGTTTCATGGCTAGAGTGGCAAAAGAGCATGCATAAAACAAGGGCACGAATTTTTATATACCTGTCTCACGTCACTAAATAAACTGCTAAAGAATTCATGTGCCACCAGTCTCCTGCCTATAACTTTGTTATTTGGAAAGAAGGCATAGGCTGTCATGATGTGAGCCATTTTTTTGATGCAATAAACCCCTTTATATATAAAAAATGTTCGGTGATTATTTGTAATCAAGTTCTTAATTACGTTAATGAAAGACACACTGGGCAGAGACCACATGCCTGAGAATTTGAATATCACAAGACAAACCTGAGATCACAATTTTTAGGTGTTTTAGAGACGTAAAGAGAAGTTGAAACTTTGAACGCAGTTCTCTCAATACTGTTTTTTTTGGGGAGGGGGGGGGGGCATTATTTTCAGCCTCTCCACGAGCTTCAATGAAGAAATAATTTGTCTCTCATTAAGTATTTGTGGTATTGCCTCAAAATTTTTGATGGAAGCAATGCGAGACCATTCTTAGTGTCTGTGCCAATTTTCATCAATATCCAACGAGAAACAAGGAAGTTCGTCGAAAAATGACTGTCAAAAACTCTAACTGGCTTTTTCTCACAAGTGTGTTTTGGGCATTGTGCACTACTCGTGGAAAGTGTAGCACGGAAATGACTGGACGGATTTTGATGGAGTTTTTTTTTTTCTGAATCGAAAAACATTTTTTGAGGGTCTGACAATCTTTGAATTTTTGTTTATGGCTCAGATTTTTTTTCAAAGATGACTTCTACATGACACTGTTTCTGACAATGTGTGTAGGCAGCCATAATGATCTGCATTGAAAGAAAGAGAAGTGATGAAAAAATTCTGAGATTGTCATACCCAATAGTCTTCTTTTGAGTAAAGATCAACACCATTTGCAGGTTCCTGGCATGTTTTGTTACAACGCTAGGCTTTCCACGAGCAGAACATAAAAGTCGAACCATGTAGCATGATGTAACTTAAGAACTACTCAAAGTATCATGATGAAACTGCATATCTCCCTATTCAAAACACTTATGAGTATGCATACCAAATTTCATTGCTCTAAGTCACCAAACAAAAAAAGTTTTTTAACACCACCTCCCTTATTAAATCCTTGTGGGTATGTAAAAAGTTTGTGATTTGCCAGTTTAATAAATGTAGTCCATAATTTCTTTTGGTCATTGGCATAATAAATGCCAAATGTCCGAAGGGATACTGAGGGGAAATATTACTGTCAGTAGGTAGAAACGTTTGAGAATCTGCTGTATATTGAGAATAAATGAGCTCAGAGATTCGATGAGCATACATTGCACAGATACTGTGGATACGATTCAGTATGAAATAAGAGGTTACAGGTTCATGATAAGATAAATTGTGGACAAAACAAAGAGCATTATTTTTGTATAATGAATAAGTTGTTATAACTGTTTTAGCTGAGATATAACCCTCCAAACAAGTATGCAGTATAATTGAAGGCAAGAAGGTATACAAAAAAGAACAGCTGTTGTTTAAAGAATGCAGTATTAAGGAGAATAGGAAACCCAACCAAACCGTCTTCAAATGTAAAGAAATGTCTCTTGTGATTGTCTCGTGTAATGTGAGTTTACTCAATAGCATTTTTATAGGCCTGTCAGAGTAACTATAATGTAGTGGGCTCCATACAGCAAGGCATATTGATCTGTATAGATGGCCTGTTACAGCGTTTAATAAACAAGCGGATTGGCAGTTGCCACATAAACAAACCATAGGTTTTTTTGTTGACATATAAAAGAACCAAAATTTTTCTTTCACTTGAGTGCATCTGCTGATTGAAAGTTATGTACAAAAGCTAACCTCATTCCCCTGTTTTGTGCATTATAAAGGTAGCTCTGCTCCATGTCCTAACATGTCGAGGATGACACTTTGTTCTAGTCATCTTGTTCCTTTGGTTTGTTGCACTGCTTTTCATGATGCAGTCTTACCAATTTACCTAGCTTAATGTGCTTTATGACAGATGATCGAATTGTGGTTGTGTTCTTAAAGAATATGACTGCCCTATTTGCCTAATGTCGTTTTGTGTTTTTTTAACTCAGGTAAATGAATGTGAGGCATACCAACCGTGCCGCAATGGGGCCACTTGTCGTGACAAGGTTGCTGACTATGAATGCACGTGTGCTGATGGATATGGCGACAAGAATTGCTCAACACTTCTGCTTGGCTGCCGCAAAGCACCGTGTCTCAATGATGCCCGCTGTGAGCCACTATTGACTGATGATGGGCAGCATTCGTACCGCTGCCATTGCCTGCCAGGATTTGCTGGAAACACCTGCCAGACAGTTACAACTGCCTCACTTAACAATGGATCTACTTGGGACCTTAACGTTAGTGTTGACCAGCAGCGTGAAGGGTTTCTGGACCACCACAAGTTGAGGATGCAGTTCCGAACTACCCTTCCAGCTGGCCTGTTAGCACGTGTGACTGTGGACAAAAGTCGCGTGCTGTTGGTTACTCTGTCTGAAGGCCGTGTACTTGTGAAATCCGCAGATGACACGGTGTCTCTCACTGTTGGTGAAGGACTGAACAATGCTGAATGGAATGAATTGAATCTGGAAATGTCATTGGGATCAATATTTGTCTTCCTGACCGAAGGTGGCAATGCAACAGCTCTGTGGCTCGGCTATGATCCGGTCACACCACTAGTTTCAGTTGTTCTTGGAAGTGGACAGAAACAGAACAGAAGCGGCTTCATTGGATGCTTAAGAGAAGTGTGGCTCGATGGAGTGCTGCAGTTGCCACGAGACCAGGGTGGGCTCGCTGAAGGTTGTCCACGTGAGGAGCAGTGTGTCATAGACACATGCAGTGGCCAGGGCACCTGTGTAGATCTGTGGAACCAGCATGAGTGCCACTGCCGTCGACCCTACTATGGCGAGCGATGCAACAACAGTACGTGTGACTCTTCTTAATGTTCACTTTGCGTTGTTCTACAAAAAGCTGTTTGTCCTCAGTCAAACTATATGTAGGTTCGAGGAACGTTGCCTTGTTCTAGCTCAGGCACAGTATTCAGTTGCTCCAATAATGTAGCTTGAAATTAATGTTTCCACACTTTCTTAACGCCTATTTGTTGAGACTGCTGAGCACAAAATGGATGAATGCAAGAAAAAAAAAAAAACGATTGCTAGGGAGGTAGCAATCATAGTGATGGCTGAAACTAAAAGTCTGGTGCTTATGACTGAAAGCGAGTGAAAATAGCCATTGCAATCATTGAGCATAGTGCGGTCATGTCTGTCATAATAATTTGTACTGTTGCAAGGTGGGGAGAAGGGGGGCAAAATTCGGGGTCGTTCAAGCATTTCTTTGTGTTGTAGTAGCCTACATGCGTACATGTCATAGTGGCGCAGGCAGTAAACGAAAAGTGAGGAGCACTTTTTCCTTCATGGTAAAGTAGTTAGATGCCTTTTTATCTCGGAGGTTTTCGTTCTGGCAATACTGCTTTTCCCGGAGTTTCGTGCCCTACAAAACAGCAGAGGGCAGCACAGAAAAATGAAAATGGGGACTGTGGGGCTGAAACTGCATCGCCGGAGGTCCAAGGCATTGTTTTGTAGGTTACAGAATCAATCAATGAGCTCAGTGATGTGTAACCTTGCCCATGGGCAAGCTTTCGTGAGACTGGGCATATGCGGGGGATCGGTCAGGTGAGAAAAACAGGCGCGGGATTGTTTTCCAAAATAGAGGGTCTACTCTGCGTGCAGTGCTGCAATATTCGGCAAACGTGACCGCTGCGGTCTACTGTACGAATTAGCGAGCTTGTTTGGGGGGTATAAAAAAACAAAAATGTCGGAGCCTGTTTACTGGCCCTTTAAGGAAGCTTGTTAATTAATGTTAATTATGTGACATCCTTCGTAAAATAATCAACAACCTGTGTTTGGTGACATACTCCTGTAGCACATCCTCCTGTATACAGAACTTGCTTTATATAATGCAGTCCCATTTTTTTTGCAAAGTTCCCAAGTAATTCTTGTAGGTCCTTACTGCTAAACTCACTTTTTAGTCCTACGGCTTTGTGAGATGTTCGCAATCACCCAAGTAATGTAGCTTAACTGATGCTGTTGGTGTAGCTGCTATAACATTTCTTACAGAACTGCTTTAGACTGTCTGAGTCTACTCTCCAAAACAAACTTTGCTGCCTGTGAGGGGTAGAAAACGGCTTGCTTGCCTGATTTTCTTTAGCTTAGTAGCCATCGAAACACTTTATAGATGGCTTGGCTTTCTGTATGACAAATTTTTCTACTCCCATGCAGGCTACCCAGCAGCCACCTTTGGTCATCACAGCAGTCTGAGCTTCACCAGACTGCGAGTCAAGCCTGAACACTGGGGAAGTCTTGGCCTGGGAGTTGAGGCCACACTGTTTGTGCGCACCCGAAGCCCGTCTGGCCTGCTCTTCTACATTGGTGCAGACCCTTCAGTTGTGCATCCTTCATCAGGAGACGAGAGTTTCTTGGCTGCCCGACTGCACGATGGGCAGCTTCAAGTGCTTCTTTTGAGCAGTTCTAGCGGTGGTGCTGGTGCCACTTACGTGCCTAAGGTTCTGCATCCATCCAAGTTGCGACTAGACGATGGCAAGCTTCACTTCATTCAGGTGTGCTTATATGCTCAAATTCAAGGCTCATGATTCCAGGACGAGCAACTTTGCTCAGTATCTGCTGAAGCTGATTTTCAGTGGGCATTAAAAAGGGAACATCTGCAGATTCTCGAAAACAATGTTTTTTTTTTTTCAATTACGTTGAAATGCAAAAAGTAAGTGAACCTTGAAGTAAAAAAAAATGAAGTTCACATTTTTTGTAGCTGCAATGAAAATACATGTCACATTAACTGCTAATGCATGAACTAGGATGTCAAAAATGAACAAAATACACTGAATTCATGTAGGCTACTGGTACTTTGTGAATATATCAAGGAGGTTTGTTAGTCAAAAAATGCAAGTTTTTTTTCGAAAATTACATATTTTTTGTTTTTATCTGCTTTCAAAAGTTTGTTTTATATAATTTCTTTAAAAAAAAAAACTGAAAATAGTAATGAAAAATCAAACTCAAAGTAAAGTAAAACCGCTTTTAAAAAGCAAAAGGTGGTTACTCAAAACTAAAAGGAGCTCACTGTCTAGAGTCCCCAAAGAATTTTTTTGCTGTATATGTAGGGTCTTATCCTGATTTAAAATATGTAATTAGTATTTCAGTAAGGCTGCACAGTTTTGTTTTGTGCCATAATAATGTGTAAAGTACTATAGTTCGTTTCAGACAAATTTTTTGTGCCATTAAACTTTTATGGTTCTGAGCCATCAAGTTAACTGTGGAATGCAAATAACTGTCAAGAAAGTGCATATTAGACATTTCAATGGGCAAGAAAAATTGTAATATGAGAATTTTCATAATCATCAGTTGAAACTGATTGCTTTCTTTAGATTCATGATAACTATCTATACAGGTGATATCAAGTTTTAGAAAAGATATTAGCATTCTTCACATGTTTCCAGAAAAGATATTAGCATCCTTCACATGTTAAGGGAAGACGTGGGACCCGATAGTGAAATATATTAGTATTAGGCCTGGAAACATGATTTTTTCAGGCAATATTCAGCTTTGTACACTGATTGAAACTATGTAATTACATTTTCTTTTTATCAATCGAAAAAAGAGCTACAACTATTCTTATTTTGTGAATTTGGCTTGTGACTTGCATAAAAAGTAATGCATCAAAAGAGCTGTAATTGAACTTGTGTATTGCTGAATATTCAAATACTGCAAATATGCCATTTCATGCTAGTATCTAAATTTTACCTAAAGTTATGAGGTTTTAATTTCGCAGTCTTTCATGTAGGCTACTGGTACTTTGTAGCTCTGAATTTTCACTGGTGATTTCTGGAAAATGTCAAAATGTTACAATATTCCTAAACACTTTATCAAGGTTTTCTTGCACACTTCAATATCCTAGCATTCAAACAAAAAAAAATCATGAGAATCGAATCAGTATTAGTGACATGGGGCTCATCCCAAAATTAAAAACATGCAAAAATCTTTATTTGAGAAAAACGCTGAAAATCTGAAAAAGTTGTGAAAATGAAAATTTCATGCATGAAAGCCACAGCACTTGTGTTCACAATCACTCAGAAAGCCCCTACGGAGCAGGCTTTTTCTTGTGCTTCTTCTTTGTGGCTGCCTGGAACGCTGCTGAAGATGCACGTTTCCTCTCCGAGCCAACGGCACGGTGATAGTCTTTCTCAACCGCTCGCTGGTTATCTGTGCATGTTTGATCTCGCTACAGTTCACGCAAAATAAGTGAACTAGATTCCTTGTTCCCTAAGTTGAAACTTAAAACAGCATCTGCCATGGCAGTCTCAACGGAAATGAAGCGTTCTTGTCCTTCAGTGAGACGCTCCAAATGACCGAATGCAAGGTTTCATTCGCATTCTGCGTCTTCCCTCTGATGCATCTCTGCAGGAGCTTCTTGTCGGACAAGCGTTCATATAAAGGACGCAGTCATAAACAGGACGCAGTGCATTGCTCACAGCCTCTGGCAAATTATACTTGCTTTTTGGGATGGGCTCATTCCTTGCCATGGCTGCATTATGCTTGCACCAAGACTCGGGGCCGTGTGGACAGAAGCTGTGGTTTGATTTCGCGTCAGTGGATGTCACATGATGATACGTAGCCCACACAGTCTTGTGCATCTCATCCACATTCTCAGAATGGGATTTCAAAGCCCAGCCGTAATAACACGTCAATTTTGTGATGAGGTCACCCGCGAGGCGGCCCTTGCCACTGGTGTGCTCGCTGCTGTCCCCTTTGTGCTTCTGCACGAGGTTTCGAAGCGCATTCCGTATGCGCTTCTGCACATGGTTCGAGCAGTCTTCTTTTTCAACATTTATGAAGCCGTACACCTTAGCTTCTTTGACAGCACTGTACGATTGGCTGTCACCATCACAAAGCATGGTGGTGTACCTAAAGCGAAAGGGAGCGCTGAAATACAATCATTGCTGCCTCTACTTTCATTTGGCCAGCCTTGCATGAGGTATTTTTCTGGCATGTATGTTTGGCTTTTCATTCAGAGTATTCTGGGCTCTCGGGTTTTGGACCACATTCACAGCAGAGGCAAAAATTAGAAAGCACAACATAGTCTAGCACATAACCTGAAAAAACTTCTATCACAGTGGCTATTCCAATGTGAGAGATTTGTCCTCTTGTGTGCCAGCTTCCATCAAAAGAGATGGCAATACTTTTGGGGTTGCCAAAATTGAGGTCCTTGTAGAGGCACTTTATCACTGTGGCACACTTAGTCAAATGTTCGGCACAAGCTCTCGTTGCTGCTGGCTGAAGTTTCATTTTCAAGTCTTGGTACTTTTTCGTGTGAAGGCCCCGATGTAAAACACTGATAGTGGCAAAGATGTCATTCAGAGCTTTCTGACCATACCCAGTGCTCTGAACCGCATGCGCCATGTGAAGGTTGATTTCGAACGGGTTGCAGTTACTGCTGCCACCAACCAGTCGCGAGCTCCATTTCGAACCAACTTCTCCACAGTAGCTGCAGTGAAACTTCAGCTTAATGGCTACGCTTTACTCACGCGCGTCGCGTTCGATGGTCAACTGACCATGGCGCACTCGGTAAGCAGAATCTTCAATTCGTAAACTGTTCACCATGTCGAGGTCAACCATAGTATACGTCAGGGCCAACGAACTTTCGGTGCTGCGCTGACTTGCGAGAACACTCATTTTGCGATCGGTTACCGAGACAGAGGAAAGTTCCGCTGCTTTTTGCTGAGCGCGATGCTCGATGAGTTCTCAGTCAGCCGATGTCAAAAATGTCAGTCTATTCTCGCAGCTCAATTGCGCATACTTGAAGTACTCCAGGCAGCGGTCGCAGTCCCTGCCATGGTTTTTCCGGCTGTGAGATCTGCTGCAGCAGCATTCTCTGCTGTATTAATCACAAGCGGCGGTGTTGTTTTCTGGCGCCTTGTTGAAGTATCACCGCAATCAGCTGATTCCGACGGCACCATGGTCGCCATCGCGATCGCTTGTGTAGCAACGCCGCTTCGTCGCGGAATTTGTTGCGCTCTTCCGCCAAGATCTGCAGATATCTTTGTCGACAGTTGCGATGATTTATAGCTCTCTGATCGCGTGTCGCCACTGGTAGAAGTTGTAACGATCGAAGGCTGCCTTTGTGTCGGGCTGCTGCAATACGGCGACTGCCGGTCTCCTGTCCCGTTCGGCTCTGCCGACGTAGCCTGCGCTGGCTGCGATTACTCCTTGGGTTGCACAGCACATTTTTTCCATCCCTTGCCGAATTCGTGAAGTGTGCGGAACTTTCGAGCACGGTTTGGCATCTCGATTTCAATCGCAAAACTACAAAACTTTTGAAAATTACGGTGACAACGCGCGTGTTTGCAGCCGCGCGTGCGTGTGATCACCAGTGTTTTCAGTCCCCGCGCTCCAATCGCAAGCCGCTGTTCACTCACGTAACTACTATGGACCAATGATACCGCACGGTTTTGTCGCTTGTTTTTGCCAGGTAGCGCAGGCTGGATGCAGCATTGAAGGTTCGTTCTTGGCGGGAAAGTGAGCTCAACAGAAGCTCTTTCAAACGAGACTAAGATGGCCGCGATCCGATGAGTGGTTAGCGCGACCCGAGCAACGCAAAAGGGGGCTGCTTTTGGCGATCTTGTAAGCGAAACCAAGTGCTGGGATGAATAAACACGGCATTTTTTGGCTCGACAACGCGTCATTTCGAGTTCATTTTTCGCTGGCAGGTGCGGGATGATATGAAGATAACGAAAATCACCAAACTGAAAAATTGATTTTTTTGCATTTTTTCGTCGCCAAGACCCATGCCCCCCCTTAAGGGGAAATCTGGTGCATTTCGAACTATGTAGATGTAATGCCATTTTAAAATAGCATGGACAGCCCTGCAAAAGCTAGGTTGGTTCATTTTGTCTAGACACTCATCATTAATTTTAATCAAGCAATGAGCATTGAGTCAAAACAGAAACAGATACAAGGATCTGCTCTGTCCTCCGTTGTGGGTATCGGATGATGTCACAAAATTTACTACACACCGCCACGGCTGGCCAGGTGTAAGCATAGCTCTCACGCTTCTTCTGACGCGCGAAAAGCAAGTTGGTGATGTCATGTGACGTGAAATCAAGCTGTGCCATTTTGTCTGAACTTACCAGTGACAAGTTCAGCAATGATTGCAGCTGCTATCTGAAGGTAAAAGAATCGCCTTTTGATTTTGACTCGCCGGCGCATGAAGCAGCTGACTTGTCCCGAATCGATCTCCTTGTTGTTGCTTAATAATGCGTATGCTTGTGTGAGACAGGACATAATGACGACTAACGTGTTGTATGCCGCTGACAAAACTGAACTGTGCTCGTGTCGTCGCCTCGTAGAAGAAAGCGCACTCTGCATCCGTCTGCTGGACAAGGGGGGGGTTTTGTATGGGACTTACGTCACATACACAGGATAGCCTGTGTTTACAAGTGTGATTCCAGAACTGGCTATCTATTTTTAAAATTGGTTTTCAAAAAGACTAAATTAGTTAAAGCTGTATAATTTGGCACATATCACCATGGTACAGACAAGAACACATGTTCAAAGTTTTATTGAAATTGGTGAATATCAAAAACCACCTTTAATTTCCACTTTAAGATATCTAGACGAAATTTCCACCTGATGTGGCTATCAGAAATAGAATTACCAAGAACATGTCTAAACTCATTTAGACACTTAAAAATGGATCATAAAAAAAATGCATTTCAAAGGGCCACTCACCAGGTTTTACAATTTCGAGCTGACAAGCACAATGCGTAGACAAGGCGTTCATGATCACGTCTGCCAAAATTTGCAACGCTACGCGCCGCGAAAATGGGTCAAATTTCAAGATGAACGCTGCTTCTCTTCCCCTCTGCCGGCGCATGCCTAGAGAATGAGGGCATGACGTGGGCATATGAACGGCCCTACGTTCACGGCAATGTAATGACGTTGGTCCTCTACATAGACTACTGTGCTCTGCTGTTGTCAACAGTATACCACGTGACAAAGCTGCACAACATGCGTAGTTTTATTTGTTGTTTTAAGAAATTAATAAAGCTTGAAAAAAAATAATGAGACACAATAAAAAATTGTGCGCATTTTTCTTTCATTTTTTCCCGTGAAATGCTATGAGATGCGGGGCTAATGTGCCAGCGTTTCGCATGCGTCCATGTCCCCGCGGTCAGCGCATTAAGCAGATGACCGCAGTGGAACGCTCCTACGCACTCATTGTGCTCATGTTCTCCACCGCGTCTAAGCCAGCGTTTCCAAACCATCCCTCAGAAACAGGTAGAAGACCACAAAATAATGCTGGTCAACAAAGCAACGCTGCTTGCGTGTTCGGCGGTTAGACTTGTTTAGGCACGTCATGTGCACGTCACCTCTTGGTCGAATGCTGGAGAGGGTGGGGAAGAGATTCGGCTTGCGAAGGCTACGCGAAGGAGCGGCAAGGGTTTCGAGCTCACTTCCTCTCATCCTTGTTTCGCGCTGCTTCAAAAAACTTGCTTTCTCCCCGCCTGATGAACCGATTTGAAAACTTTTTGTGGCAAAATGTTTCTCATCGGACACCCAAAAACTTCCACTGTCTAACTAAAATTCGGTATGGGGCCTGGTGAGTGGCCCTTTGAAGGTATAAGTCAAAGGTCATCCATGCGCCAAAGATATGTTTTTTAAATGATTCCTACCATCATGAGAGGTTGGCAATCATTGTTATTATGAGCATGTGGCTTTAGTGAAATGCGAAATGCAATGGTAAGCAGCCAGGTGACAATTTTTAGAGCACTCTAGACAATGAGCTCTCTTTAGTTTTCAGTATTGTGCGAATTGTGAATTTCAGGTTAAAAGGAAATTTCAAATGAATACCGTGTTTTTCGGTGTATAAGTCGCGGTTTTTTCTTAATTTTTTGTCGGTGCGGCTTATACAACGGTGCGACTTATATACAGTCAAAATGGGGTTTGACGGCGCGACTTCGGCAGCCTGGATATCCCCGTGCACCCCTCTTGCGATGCACAGGAACCGCATTTTACAAAAAAAATAAAGATAGTGGTAAATTATTGTATTTACTTGCGTAAACCTTGCACTTTGTTATTGTGAAAAACTGATGAAAAGTTGGGGGGTGTGAGAATAATGAGCAGAAAATTTTTCGCGAAAGTGTACAGAGTGAATACACTGAAACCTTGTTATAACGAAGTTGAAGGGGAGCCACAATTATTTTGTTATATTGATTATTTCGTTATATCGATTATAACAGTTCATGCCAATGTATGCGCAGATGGGCGCACATTTATAAAAGCAAGCAAAGGAGGAAACCGCCTCGCGGCCCGATGTACACTACCCGACCATGCGTGCGACGGAAAATAAACACAGTCGAATCTCACTAATCTGAACACGCTTAATTTGAACTTCCGAACTCGCGCTGCCGTCCCCTCAAAGCTATGTGTATTCCAATGGGCGAAAACGCCCTGTAATTCGAACACGTAAGCACTTGGGACGGTCAATTCGAACATACTGCATTCCGAAAATGCTCTCAGCACCATGCCCAATCTCGCAGCGGCACCTCTAAATGCTGCGCGCAGAAGGAAAAAAAGAAAAAGAAAGAAAAGACTGTGGCAGATTGTTTGCTCTCTCTCAAATGCCGGTCTGCAATGCGCCTATGCCACGCTTCTTCATGTCCTTCTTGTCTCTGTGTCGTCGTTTTGTTCTCGCGCTATAACTATCGTCATGACAGGTACAATTTCGAGATTACAGCAGCCGCGGTGCGATGCATCATTTTGTGGCGGTGCTGCTGGCCATACCTGCGATGCGAGTATAGCGGGTTCGAGGATATGAAAATAAGGAAAATGGCGGCATCGCTGGTGAATTTGGGTTGGAGGTTAAGAGTAAAAAGTTTGGTAAATCGGATACCGAAGGCTATAAGCATCCTGAATTTTAGACTTTTTAATACATTGGCTCTATGGGGAACTTGGAGAAATCAGATGTCGACTGTACTTAGAGCATACAAGCTGGTATTGCAATCTTTTATACTTTAAAAATGATGAATCGATGTGAGGATGTTATGTTCATTCAACCTTCAAGTGGGGCTTCGCTGCAGTGCGGTTTACCCTTGATAGACGTTACGGCATAGCAAACGTCCACTGCAGCGAAACCACCTTTAGAGGGGTCGCATGCAGACCAATATACACCTATTCGTTCATGGAATATTTTGAAATTTCTTGGAATTCGGATTCGAATCAAGGTGAATTTGAATACAGTAATATTTGTTCAATATTCGTACAAGCCTAACTTTTAGTGTCCACCTTGTGCTCTTGAAAAGCAATTTTAACTTACTTCAAGTTTAAGTACAATCTTCAGTTTTTTTGTGTGTGTAGAAGAAAAGCCAAACTTGTGAAAGAAAATAAAAATGAAAAATATGTACTATTAGAAAACCATTTGCATTTTTTGACTTGCCTGTCCTATTAAGTTCCTCTCTTCACATGTTTAATACCTAACTGCCATGGCCACATTTCCAAGGAAGTGAAATGTGAAAGCACCCGTGTTGAAAAAAAACAAAACAAATCTCCGATGGGGCATCTTATAATTTAAAGGCCTCCACTTTAGTAATTCCCCTTGTATACTACTGTGCAGCTTTATGATTCAATTCAATTAACTTCAAAAGAATACTGTTTAGTTGAACTTCATCTTCTGAATGCAACAAATTCAAATAAGTTCGTCAGTTGCGCATTGAGAACATTCCAACATGATTGTTTGAATGGGCAAAGTGATTGCATTTGCAAGCAAGCCATGGGCATTCTTAGGCATGCACTGCTGTGACTGTTGCTTTGCTGGAACCCTCTTCTTTTTTGCCAGGCCTCGAGCACTGTTGCCACATTTCGATGGGGGGTGAAATGTGCTCTCTTTTCAGTTTCGGTACACATAAAGAAAACCTGTGTTGTCCAAGTTTCTCTGGAGTTGTCTGGTGTCCCACACGTCGATGCACCTCATAATCATACCACAGTTTCGATACCTAAAGCTCTTGGATTTTCTTAATGTTTTTTGCCAGGTGTGGTTCAATGAATCGTGGCTTGGAGCAGCAGTGGATGGTCAGGAGAGCTTGGAACCCCCAATGAGTGGTGGCAGTGGTTATGCCATTGCCCCCCATATCATCTACCTTGGATGGCTGCAGCCTCAGAGTCAGCCACCCCTCAGGCGTCGGCGGCAGGTTGGAAGCTCTTCGTGGCTTGCAGAGCTCACTGATTCTGTTGGCAACGTTGACGCATTCAAGGGAGTGCTGCAAGACTTTAGGGTAAGCTGGTCTCAATGAGGCCCTTGTCATACTTTTCCTGCGCACCACATCGTCATTGTGCATACTCGGTTCAGCTGTATTAAATTCCATGCAAATTGGGACAAATGTCTGCATTTCATATTTCTTTCAATTCAGTGATGCAAGAGCTGTGCCGATTGCGCCAAACTGCCCCAAAAAAACAAACGCCCGCCCAAAACTTCAAGAATGTGCATTTGTATATATACATGTGCTTGTACAAATACTTGCCAACACATATATATATGTGGTCTGACCAGTCCTTTCCCCTTTTTGAAAATTTTCACTTCTGGGTACAGACCTGGGTGCTACTGTGGAATAGCATACTTCATTGATGACCAAGCAATGTGAATCTCCTGTTGCTAGCTACTTTAAAATAGTTCACAGTTGTCAATCTATTGGCTCTTGTTCAGTGTTGAAACAGCAGCAAATTATGTTCTGCATACCTACCTATATAGCTTTCAAAGCACCTAACTTTTAACGAAATTTTGAGTGAGTACATTGTCCAGCACTTGTATAAGGTGTTTTATGTAACAAAGAACAAAGTAAAAAAAAAAGCTGCAAATAATGTAGTGCTAATGTAGACCTTATGTAGGTCTTGGTGTACTTCTAAATCTTCCATTTAATATGCAGCTTCACTGCCATGAAACCTAATTAGTGCATAGCCAACACCACCTAGACTACAGAAGTCCTTCCCGTGCCCTCCCCTCAACAGGCTGACGTCACCATAGTGAGATCGGCGGCGGATTGAGAGGAGGTTAGGAGAGGTCGAGAGAGCCGACTAGAACGACGAAAGAGCGACATGGCTTGTCATGGCTTACGGCTGCGAACTAATGTGCAGCCGATTGCATGTTTTGGCATTTTTTTTTTTCGGACAAGTTGACAAAAACTTGTTCTTGTCGTCTCTTCCTTCGCTAAACAGGTGTTTTCTTTATGCTACATGGCTTCAATGCTACCGTTGTGCATGATATATTTTACAACAGGCGCTGCATTTCAGCTTTTAAAACTTTCAAGTTTTGTTTGTTGCGGAAAGTGTGTTGTGCTCTGACAACATTGTGCTAAAACCACATTGTTTGGGTTATTTGGTGGCAGTCGCAAGCAAACGAGCTGTCTCTGTCTTGCAACTCAGTATTGCTGTTACGCCATGTATTAACAACCCAAGGACTATGCCCGGTTGTTGTTGTGCATCGAATCGCAATTCTAATTATGCCGGAAGACCCACCGTTTGCGTCTACAGGTTCCCCGCCAACGCCTTTAAAAGAGCAGTGTGGACACGCGCCAGGCCGCGTAAGAACTTTGCACCATCCAAGTTGACAGTGGTAAGGAAATCTGCCTTTTCTTTCCGTTCAGTTTGTTCTCGTAGTTGCATTTGCTGTCGCCTAATTATGAAACTGCTCACTATTTCTGCCATTGACCTAAATATAACATTCTGTCTGTTTGCAGCTCTGGGAAAAGCACTTTCACCCAAGTGACTTCGTCACCTCGACGAGCTACATGGACACAATCACTGTCAAAGTGATTGAAGTTCTGCCTAAACTCAGGCGTCTAAGGCCTGGAACTGTTCCAAGCATTTTTCCTGGCTGCCCCAAATATTTTTCTCAACACAAAAATGTGGCTCGCGAAGGCCCGGCAGAAAAACGAGCTTGTATAGAGGCCAAAGCATTGCAAAATGCATTACAAGAGTCACTCATCACACATCAAGAGGAAGAGAAGAAGCAACGCCATCTCCTCTTTCGAGGACCTTTTGTTCATGATTACAAATAAGCAGCGCACGACGTTTTTACAAAAGAGAGACGATAGGGACACCAACTCGCCCAACTTTCGGTGTTAAAGGACCTTTTGTGTCGCACGAACAAGCTTTTGGTGGGAGACTTCTGCAGCAAAGTGGTTGTGAAAGGCAGTGTGTGGTTCTTGAGCATTTAGTGTGTTGTGCTGTAGTTGTATGTGCCGATCTCTGCCTCAAAGTATACTTCGGAGAGACACGGATTAAAAAGGTAGGCACCGTTGTGTTCCCCGTTTCAATTTCATACATTACACAACTGGGTGTTACACTAAACTGCATTGAAGAAATTGTAAAATGCTCCCAAAATGATGAGACAAGTGTAGAGCTTCTTTTGTGCCATATATTGGCACACTTAGAAGAACTGTCATCATTACAGTTTCCATCTGACTGGCTGGCAGAAGTGGTGAAGTTTCTGAGGCACCAAGTTGAGACTGTTTTGAATAATGGAGCGAGGTACCCAGCCGAATTACTTTTTTTTGCCAGTATTACGCTCACAATATCACCACACGCTTACAAGTTCATGTGAAGTACATCGCAGTTCAGGCTTCCACATCCAAACACTATTAGGCATGTTTGTGCCGCATACAGCATTAGTCCTTCATCGGAGCAACAAGATGATTTGTACTTGTTGTATGCAAAAAAATGGCATCAGCACTGGAGGACCATGAACGGACTGTAACGCTCATGATAGACGAGATTCATTTACAGTCCTACTTCAAATATAGAACTGGTTTCGTCACAGGTGCAGCCACAAACAGCAACATTGCTGCAAAGACAGCGTACGTGTTCATGATGCAGAGCCTGTTGTCTTCCAACAAAGATGTTGTGCATATTCTGCCTGTCACAAAACTCGATGCAAAAGACTTTCACTGTGTTCTCAAACACCTCATTATAGAGCTAGAAGATGCTGCACTTCGGGTGATCGCAGTCATTTCTCACAGTAATTCCATTAACTGCAAAGCAATGTCTTTTCTTTCTGATCCCCCCAAATTTAATATTGTCTATGCACACTTATATAATCCTGCCAGACCTTTGTTTTTTTGTCTTAGACAGTGTTCACATTCTCAAGTGTATTCATAACTGGCTTATTAATCAACGCAATCCAGGGACTTGCATTTTTTTCCCCGATATAACTGAACTTTCCAGTGATAGACAAGTGTTCACAGCATCGTTTGGCACTTTGGGCAAGGCACACACAAAAAAAAAGCAATGAGCTCTTGCGGTTGGCCTCCACGTTATCTGTAAAAGTGCTAAATTTATCCAACTTGAAGCGCCACGATGTCGAGCTCGTCCTGAAGATCTCCAACCTTTCAAATATTACAGCACTCACTAGTTTAAAGTAAGCTCAACTTCAACATGCCAAAGGCACAGCTGAATTTATCGGTATCATCATGACGTGGTGGAATATTGTAAATGTCAAAACTCCTCACAATGGACAGCGCCTGTATGACAGCTTTCAAGAGCCAATGAGAAGTCTGTCTTCCCCTCAGATCGATTTCCTCAACAGCGTAATTGACTGAGTAGACTTTTGGGGAAGTCTAAAACATGATGCAGGCCACCTGACTTGTGAAACATACAGTGTATTTCGCCACACTTGTCATGTCCTTGTAGAAGTAACCCGCTACAGTCGAACCCGGGTATATCGAACTCACCAAAAAACATTTATTAGTTCGATATATGGCATGATTCGATATAGGCCTGGTATAGGTTTTGACACAAAGGCATATAACAAACTAGAAGAAAAGTACTTTATTAATATGGTGGCTTACTTGCGTGCCCTACTGTGGAACAAAATAGTCCCGGATTTTTTTTCTGTGTCAACGACTTCGCTGCCTGCAACAGCACGCATGCCTTCAGGTTTTCCAACGGGTCGGAGCAGCTGAGGCTGCAACCTTCCACATTCAAGCAATAGCGCCGGACCAACGCAAGTGCACTAATCACTTCGGAGGATGTAGGCAATGGGCCGTCGTCGATTTCTATATTGCTGTCGCTTTGGCTCATGGTCGGCGCGACGTCTGCAATGTAATCCTCATCCTGTAATTGGCCCATGATAGGGACATCATCATCCGCACTGACGAACTCGTCGAATGTCGATCCGTCGATAGCACCCAGGAACTCTGCCAGCTCGTTCCAAACATTGGCGGAAACACCTGCGGTGTCTTCAGTGTTGTCAGAATTTAGGGTGTGATCATCAGGCATGCAGAAGCCGGCATGCCTAAAGCAGTTCTGGATCGTCTCCTTCTTGATATCTGTCCACGATCTACTCAACATACAAATAGCTCCGAGCAAGTCGATCTTAAGCTCTCTGCCAACACGAAGGTTCTGCAGCAGCCTCTCCACCAGGCGCTTTCGATAGCCGGCTTTCATTGCGCGTATAACGCTTTGATCCAGTGGTTGCAGTACAGACGTAGTGTTTGGGGGCAAAAAACACAGCTCGATGTTGCTGAAGGTCGTACTGCAGTGGTGTGATGAACAATTGTCCACTAGCAGGCACACCTTGCAATTTTCGCCTACCAACTCATCATTCCACGACGATAGCCATCTGCTGAGAAGCTCCCCGGCCATCCACGCTTTTGAGCTTGCTCGGTAGGTAACTGGAAGCGACAACGCATTTCGAAAATACCGCGGTACTGTGCTTTTCCCGATAACCAGAGGTCGAAGCTTTTTCGATCCGTCTAAATTAGCTGCCAACAGCACGGACACATGAGCTTTGTTTGTTTTGCCGCCACTTGTCTTGTCGTCACGACACGCAAGTGTCTTGTTTGGCAACATTTGCCAAAATAGAGCGGTTTCATCCACATTGAACATATCTTGGGCTCTATATCTTGCTGCGATATCTCGCCAGTTTTCCTTGAGCCATTTTTCTACGCTGTCCAGATCCGCCACTCTGCTTTCACCTGTTTACCTGTAACAGCTTTGTCAATGATGTCATGCCGTTCTTTGAACCGCTGAAGCCAGCCTAAACTGCCTTGGAAATCATTCCTGCCAAGCAGAAAAGCAAGGTCCTTGGCTCTCTGCTCGATCATAGGGCTGGACACCGGGATGTTTCGCGACCGAACGTCCACAAACCACTTGTAAACAGCCGCTTCAGCATCTTCGTACACATCAGCGCGCACACGTCGGGCGCCACAGGCACCTGACCTTTTGTCCGACTTGGCCCTGATGTCTGCCTTGTTCTTCAGGATAGTACTCAAGGTGCTCC